CTCCGGAGGCAGCAGACAGGTACCGGATAGCCAAGTGGGGTGCAGCAGTGGCAGTTGCCGAGGCAAAATCTCGGGCGTGGGAGGAGTTTGGTGAGGCCATGTAGAAAGACTATTGATCGGCTCCAAAGAGGTTCTGGCAAACTGTCCGGCGCTTCAAAAGAGTGAGGCAGCAACTCTCTCATACTGTTTACAGTGGGAATGGGGAGCTGCTGACGTCAACTGGGGCTATAGTCGGGCGGTGGAAGGAATACTTTGAGGAGCTCCTCAATCCCACCTACACGCATTCCGAGGAGGAGCCAGAGCCGGGAGACCTGGGTATGGACTATCCAATCTCTGGGGCAGAAGTTGCTGAGGTAGTCAAACAACTATACAGTGGCGGAGCCCCGGGGTTGGATGAGATTCATCCTGGGTATCTCAAGGCTATGGATGTGGTAGGGCTGTCGTGGTTCACACATCTCTGCAACTTTGCGTGGTCATCGGGGGCAGTTCCTGTGGAGTGGCAGACCGGGATGATGTTCCCCATCTTTAAGAAGGGTGACCGGATGGTGTGTTCCAACTATAGGGGGATCTCACTACTCAGCCTCCCTGGAAAGGTCTACTCCAAGGTACTGGAGAGGAGGGTCCGATCGATAGTTGAACCTCAGACTGGGGAGGAGGAGCAATGTGGTTTTCGTCCTAGCCGTGGAACTGTGGACCAGCTCTATACACTTGCAAGGGTAATGGAGTGGGCATGGGAGTTTGCCCAACCAATCCACATGTGTTTTGTGGATTTGGAGAAGGCTTATGACCGTGTCCCCAGGGGCACCCTGTGGGGGACGCTCCAGGAGTATGGGGTGGGTGGCTTTCTGTTAAGGGCCATTCAGTCCCTTTACCAGAGGAGCGTGAGTTTGGTCCGCATAGCCGGTAGTAAGTCGGGCCTGTTCCGGGTGAGGGTTGGACTCGACCAGGGCTGCCCTTTGTCACCGGTTCTGTTCATTATCTTTATGGACAGAATTTCTAGGCGTAGTCGTGGTGTGGAGTGTATCGAGTTTGGTGGCAGGAGAATCTCGTCTCTGCTTTTTGCGGATGATGTGGTCCTCCTAGCATCATCCAGCTCTGACCTTCAGCTCTTGCTGGGTAGGTTCACGGCCGAGTGTGAAGCGGCTGGGATGAGGATCAGCACCTCCAAATTTGAGACCATGGTTCTCGACCGGAAAAGGATTGCTTGCCAACTCCGGGTCGGGGGAGAGGTCCTACCTCAAGTGGAGGAGTTTAAGTATCTCGGGGTCTTGTTCACGAGTGAGGGTAGGAGGGATCGGGAGATCGACAGGCGGATTGGTTCAGCGTCTGCAGTGATGCGGACGCTGCACCGATCAGTCATGGTGAAGAGGGAGCTGAGCCAGAAAGCCAGGCTCTCGATTTACCGGTCGATTTACATCCCAATCCTCACCTATGGTCATGAGCTTTGGGTAATGACCGAAAGAACGAAATCGCGGATACAAGCGGCCGAAATGAGTTTCCTCCGTAGGGTGGCCGGGCTCAGCCTTAGAGATAGGGTGAGGAGCTCGGACATTCGGGGGGGACTCGGAGTAGTACCGCTGCTCTTCTGGAATGAAAGGAGTCAGTTGAGGTGGTTTGGGTCTCTGGTCAGGATGCCTCCTGGACACCTCCCTGGGGAGGTGTTTCGGATATGTCCTGCCGGCAGGAGGGCCCCGGGTCGACCCAGGACATGTTTGAGAGGTTACATCTCCAATCTGGTCCGGGAACGCCTTGGGGTCCTGCCGGAGGAGCTGGTGGAGGTGGCCAGGGAGAGGACGGTCTGGAGCTCCCTAGTTAGGATGCTGCCCCCGCGACCCGGACCCGGATAAGCGGAGGAAGACGACGACGTGTGGATATTCTGCCTGATGATCACTGGATTTCTCCTGATTGGAGTGGGAGGATATCTGGTTTTCTGGAAATTTGGGAAGACGGAAGCGATTGGAGGGCGACCCGCACCCACGGAAAGCACCTTCCGTGTGGAGACTTCTCAGACTGGGACGTTACTCGAGGTGAATCTTAAGCCGGACAATGTTCTAGCTGCGACACCGGTATTAGTGCGCAAAATGGATGTCATCTCGGAGAGAGTCACAGGACGGTATGGACAGGTTGAAAAACCCAAAATTGGCTTCACTGAAGGACTGGAATGATCCGTTTAAAAACTGAAGGCAGAGAGGAAAATTTTCTCAGCCTGACCCAAACATATTCTTGTTATCTGAATCTGACGCCCTGGTAGCCTCGAGCGGCAAGCAAAGAAAACCCCCACGAAGGAATGTAGACAGATGCTGTGACTCCCCACCACCCCCCACCCCCCCACCCCCCGCACCATGTACGCACAAATCAGTCAGATGTGAAAAGAGCCTCAAAAGGAGTTTTGTACTTGTAAACTGATCTGTGTGTAATGTAGTTTTGTCCGTGTGTACCAGGTGATTTGTATGTGTCGGAGCTGAAGTTACACATGAAAATGTAAACACAAGTTACAAATCAAGAGGTGCACACACACACAAATTTAGACACACACACACACACACACACACACACAACTTATGATATACACAAACAACTATAGACACATACACACAACTCTAGATACACAAACCCAACTCTAGATACACACACACAGATCTTATTCAACGATACTTTATTAATCCCAGAGGGAAATTAGAGTTTTAGTACACACAATTCTGAGATCAGACATTCATACATAGGCAAAGACAAAGACACATGACAAGAATTGGTGACTGTGGTCATTTGCAACCTGAGTTGCGCTACCTTAATAGAGATAAGAGGGGTTTACATGAGGATTGGGTCAGGTGGAGGAAAAAAAAGGCACTTCAGAGTCACCCTCCACAGGGAGGGCAGCGTTGCTATGCAAAAAAACACTTCAGACAGAAATGCACACAGACTTCAGACATAACATAAGTGCCCACTAGGTGGGGTGGTAGGGTTTGGGACTCTCCACACGTCAGTGAATGCAGCCACGATAAGCAGCGCTTGTCACCTCAGTCTGGACAGGGGAGGGAGGTCGTTAGGTTTAGAGGGCACAGTGACTCCTGGAACGATTCAGCGGCCTTCACAGCTCGTAGTCCCGCCCAGGCTGGGATAGGGAGACAGAGTTGCCATGGCGACGGCAGCATTCCACATTTCTTTGGGGGGGTGTTACCAGATTGAGATAAGAAATTGTTTGGGGGTCAGACAGAGATAATTTCTTCTCTGTCTTAAAGTTCCGCTGATCCTTAACCTCTCAAAATCCCATAATGGCGTTAATCTATTCCAATATGTGCTGATTCGTCCACTCGCTCCTTGCCGAAAAGCAGGAAACCTGACACCAACACCACAAATATCCAGACGTCTTCAAAATCCTCTACAGAGCATTGAGATCAGAAAATCAGGTTCCACTGTTTCCAGGAGTCCATGATATGCCCAACTGGATCTGTCCCAGAGGGGCACCCGGGAGCCACTTCTCCCATTCTCATCGTTGAAAAGATTTTGTCAATCGCGTTGAGAGACCAACTGACCAGGTCCATTTTAATAATTTAAGTTTTCAGTTTTCCAGAAAAAATGCAGAAGCACCATCCACCCAAAGACAGACAAAGAGCCTTGGGGGATAAGATAGGGAGGAGAGGAGGAAAAAAGCGTCTGTACTCTCCAAGAGCCGGAAGAAGAGACTTTTTTCTCCACATAGATGATTGCCTTCAACCATCAACCGTAGGCCTGCACACTGGCGTTGGATGGGTTAAGATTCATTTAATAACTGATTAAACATCAATACATTCAGTCTGATTATTTCATAATCCCAGACATCACATTCGTTACTAAGACATTTAATTAAACTTTTAATAACGTTTTGGATCAGCGTGTGATTAATCTGATATTACCTTAAATCCTCATCCTGTATGGTCATTAGTAGTAGACATATGCTAATAGATTTATTCTTATAAACTATATTCTTGTCTCTGTGTTGTTTCCCTGGATTAACCAAAGTATCCAGTTTCATCAGCAATCAGATATTAAAGGTTCAATAATATTGATAATCCAGATGTTTATGGAATATTACATTTTATTGAATACCTTTATATTCTATTAACATTTTATAGAACCTAACCACTAAGAAAACATTACACATCACTCTCTTCAGATGTTCAGGAACGGGAGAGCTGTCATGGTGGCGAGTGGCCTGTTGGTTATGGTAAACACGTTTCTCTACCCCAGCCCACTGCATCCCACTTTCTGTAAATCCTTTGAACTTAGTTTCACTTCTCAAACATTGCCGTATGTCTCCTAGATGAGCGATTCGGCTAAAGCAGCCAACGGCCTTTACAGGAGTTACACCACTGCATAACGGTGCTGCCACTCGCCCTTATTCTCCATCACCGCCGCTCTCTCTCTCCTCCAGCTGACTGGCAGCTGAGAAGGAGAGAGTGTGAGGAAGGCGGACAGAAATGGGTGTTTGGGGAGATGGGGAACTGTGTACCTTGTAGTGTCCTGGAGGCCAGGGAGTTGCTGGAGAATTGGTCCAGCTCTCTCCATCCTTTTTGTGACCTCAGGTCTCATCAGTGCTGTCTTGTCTCACACACACACACACACACACACACACACACACACACACACACACACACACACACACACACACACACACACACACACACACACACACACACACATACTGGTGACACAAGCGCACACAGGCTGCAGTTTCAGCAGCAGTGGCAACAAAGCCAGGCTGGCCAGCGTTTGTATTGGTGAGCTGATTCCAGTACGACAGGCCGCTACAGGAATGTCAGTCACACAGGAACAGCCCCTGCTGCTCCGCTCCTCACACCCGTCATTCTGCATATTTAACACGGTCTTTTATGGCTTACACGGTGGCGACGTCATCAAACTGGTCGAATTCCAAACGTCTTCTCTGTGCCTGACAGCCTCTCATGAGCGGTGTGTTTCAAGCTGTCTGGAGAAACTGATGAATACTTCTGTCTGACTTACAGGTGAGCCAGTACACCTTTGCCATGTGCAGCTACAGAGAAAAGAAGGCTGAGCCTGTGGAGCTTCTTCAGTTGGATGGCTACACTGTGGACTACACTGACCCTCAGCCAGGTGAGATGAACCAGCTTATAGTCATACGCAGAAAGGACTCGGTTCCTGACGTGCACCTGAGTGCCCAAATGAAATTCAACTCATCAAGTATCCAACTGGGTGCATCCTTTTACTTTGAGTCACAGGAGTTGACACTTCAGGAAGTTAAAAGCAGCCAGATGATGCCCTTCTAAACTTTGAAAGCAAAGCTAGGCACGCCACATGCTAAAATGTTACCGTTGGCACTGATGTCATTCAGCTTAAATATGAAATGGTCTGCTTAAGGAACACCCCACCTCCAGCTGCGTGAGCTCCACCCATTCATGACCAATGGTCCAAGATCTACAAAGCACCATGGGCTGCAAGGAAGCTCGTGGCCATAGATGAGGGCAGGAACCTAGATCCGCCGGTAAACGGAGAGTGTGACCCTCTGGCTCGGCTCTCTTCAGATTGGTACAGCGCCGGCATCACTGCAGACGCAGCACCAATCCGCCTATCGATCTCACGAGCCAGGAAGAGCAGCAGGTGAGGAGATGAGAACGTCAGGAAAGAGAAACACAAAGGGCTCCTGGAAGGATGGCTGCAGTTTTAGTGGTCGCAGAAGCTGAAACAAACCGACGGTGGTGAAAATGGTGCATTTCTTTAAACAGCCCTTTGTGTTGAGGCTGAGCTGATCAAAGCGTACGGAAGCTGTGTGGTCTCCTCCTGGTCCTGTGCTAACATGACCCCAGCGCCCCACCTGTTGGAGCTGACCTCCCTGTTGCTGCCTCCTGCACTAGTACATCATGAACACATCTGATTTGTTTCATTTAGTGATGAATCCCTTCTGTAGACGTGAACGGTGGCTGGGAGACATTTAAGCTGTAGGATTAAGGTGTTAAAACCACGAACGCACAGCCAGTGTGTCTTTAATGATAACATGTTTTCATCTAACTGTGGACTTAGTCAAACTGGTGTCTCTGCAGCTCGGCTACACAGACGTGAGTCTTCAGACTAGTTGTGCGTGTTCTGCAGGTTTGGATGGCGGGAGGACTTTCTTCAATGCTGTCAAAGAAGGAGACACCGTGATCTTTGCCAGTGATGATGAACAGGACCGAATCCTGTGGGTCCAGGCCATGTACAGGGCCACTGGTCAGTCACACAAGCCAGTGCCTCCCACCCAGGTCCAAAAGCTCAACTCCAGAGGGAGCACCGCCCCACAGCTGGATGCACCCATATCCCAGTTCTGTAAGTGTTCAGGCCTCAGGCCTGCTGTTGGTGAGACCAGTCGTATCGGTTTCAACGGTTCTAAATATGAAAACCTGAAGGGTACCTTCATGTTTTGGATCATCTAAAACAATCTGAGAACTGACATTTTCTCATGAGGGTCATGTCCCCGTCTCCTTTTGTAGTCTTCCTATCATGCTTGATGATGATTCTACCAGCCTGGGTGTTCTCACCCTGTGCACTGTTATTCTTGGTGTGCTGCCTTTGTCCCATGCCTTTGGCTTTGCTGTGTGTCTTTATGTTTCTCTGTTCCTCCTTTTTTCTTTCTCTGTGTAAACTTTGACCCTACTCTGCTGTAGCTGGATTAAAGGGTAAGTGCTCTGCTCACCTCTCTTTTTCCCATTAGTCTACCACTCCCTCTGTGTGAAATTTGTGTTTGACAAACAACTAAATTACTAAGAAAACATGATAAATAAATGATATGACCTGCACAGCTGCCCTGGGGCACGCTGACAGAGCGGGGCCCGCTGGGCGCTGGCGTCGCCGGCCCCTCCGGCCACCACCAGCAGGGAGGGTGGGTTAAGGGTCTTGTCCAAGGACACCACAGCAGAGTTCTCTGTTCAGAGCTGGGATCAAACTTGCAACCTTCTGATTACTGGACAACCCCCTCTGCCTCTTGGCCCCCCCCCCCCCCCCCAAGGAATGTACTGGACTCAAGTGATTACAGGCACAACAGCTCTTTAAGAGCTACTTCACACCTCAGACATCTGACCTGCAGGCCGTGGTTGCATCTCATCACCGGTGAACCTGAACTCAAAGGGAGCTACTACTCTTTGAGACTCGTGATCTCAACATCCGATGAATCACCACTCAGGCCGCCCCTCCTCCGGACCACCGGGAGCGACTTATACCAAAGGCTATTGTAGGCTGCACACTGGCGTCGGATGGTTTTACAAACAGATCTGTCGTGTAACAAACAAATAGCCAAATTTATTTTACAACCCAGACTCCACAAAATCTCTCAGAGGCTTAAGAAAGGTTCTACTAAACCATCTAGCTTCCTTTTATCCATCACATGAACTCACTTCATAGCCATCATCATTCATATCTTGTCTTGTATAATTATTAGTTTAGGGAAAAAATTCATTTTCACAAACTATATTCTTGATCTGTCGTGGGGAGGAGGGAGCTGAGCCAGAAAGCCAGGCTCTCGATTTACCGGTCGATCTACGTCCCAATCCTCACCTATGGTCATGAGCTTTGGGTAAAGACCGAAAGAACGAGATCGCGGATACAAGCGGCCGAAATGAGTTTCCTCCGTAGGGTGGCCGGGCTCAGCCTTAGAGATAGGGTGAGGAGCTCGGACATTCGGGAGGGACTCGGAGTAGAACCGCTGCTCCTCCGGATCGAGAGGAGTCAGTTGAGGTGGTTTGGGCATCTGGTCAGGATGCCTCCTGGACGCCTCCCTGGGGAGGTGTTTCGGGCATGTCCTGCCGGCAGAAGGCCCCCGGGTCGACCCAGGACACGTTGGAGAAGTTACATCTCCAATCTGGTCCGGGAACGCCTTGGGGTCCTGCCGGAGGAGCTGGTGGACAAGGCCGGGGAGAGGACGGCCTGGAGCTCCCTAGTTGGGATGCTGCCCCCGCGACCCGGACCCGGATAAGCGGAGGAAGACGAGACGAGACGAGATATTCTTGACTCTGTCTGAATTAATATGAAGTGTTTTTATGGTCCCTGAATAAGTAAAAGTAACTAAAATCTTCTGATTAAACATTCAAAGATCAATCATGTTGATGTTTCATATTCATATGAAGTTATCACATCTTATTGATCATTTTAATAAATATGTAGTGAATCCTTAATGCTACATTAATTAATTAATTAATTAATTAATCCAAAGCGACGTGCAATAGCTAACCAACAGGGCATGTTGTGATCTGTGGGGGAAACTGGAGTACCCGGAGGAAACCCGCACATGCATGGAGAGAACACGCAACGCCACGCAGAAAGGCCGCAGCTCATGAAACATGCGGTGGCCTCTCGTACGCAGTCGTCTGATAATAAATCCCACCTGTGCGTGTCCGGGTGCTCGTGTTCGCTCTCAGTCTTTTAACAGGAAGAAACCTCCAGAGGATCCTGGCTCAGCATAAGCAGCCATCCTCCACGACTCACTGGGGATGGAGAAGACAGAGCACACACACACACACACACACACACACACACACACACACACACACACACACACACACACACACACACACACACACACACACACACACCAAGTAGTGTTTCTATGGTTACATTGTGATTTCTCACCAAGTATTCTATTTGGTGAGAGATAAACTTTATTGTATTTATCCTAGTGGATCTATAATTAAACGGGTAAACTAGTAGTAGCACATTCAATGTCAAAGAGAGTAAAAAGTTATTATCAGGAGAGGGAGAATGTTTAAGTGGTTAGCAGCAGTGTGCTAGACGATGGCCCCCTCCATGAGGCCACCACAGCTCAGCAGAACATCGTTGTAGCTTCTTCTGGGGAGAAAAACACTTAGAGAAAAAATAAAGTTAACAGCTGAAATAGCAGGAAATAATACAGTTAAAGAGCAGACTGTAGAAGAATCATCAGATCATCTGCTGCTGTGGCCCCCAGACTCTGGCCCTCTCTCCCCCTGAGCCTGAGACCGGTGGACTCAGTGGTCTTCTTTAAACTCACCTGTTTAGGTCTTGGTGTTACCTTCATCACCCTCTCCTTATTCTGCTCTTTCTACTTATTCCACCTTTCCCAGGTTCCACTGATGTCCCTCTTTCCTTTTCATTTTGTCTCTGCCAACGGAGCTCCCTGTCGGCTCCTTCAGCTCTCTTGCTGCTTTTCATCGTAAGCTAGGACTCGGGAGTCAGGGAAAAAAACAAGGCCAAGCTCATCCTAAAGGGGGAGATACGAACCCATTCGCAACATCACTCATAATTAGTTCACCCTATCACTACATCATGCGTAAATAGCTGCTAGGTGCAGGCAGGGAAGACTTTCTGCTTCAGGGAGTGCGCTCGTTGCTGCCTCCAGGTGGTCAAAATCAGGAAGGATTAGAAAACCCTCTGGGTTATTTTGAGACTTGGCACACATAAACTATGGCTTTGGTTCAAGATACCTTCTCTGTAAGTGTATGTATATAATGTAAATGTAAATATGTTTGCACAGGCTTGCTAAATCCGATCCTGTCTTCTGACAGACATTTTTGGAAGTGGCAGCGGAAAGAAAGTGTGGAACTCCATTTTTAGAATGACAGCAATTTGACATAAAAATTTGAGACACGCCTTGACCTAAATGAAGAAATGACTAAATTCACATAGGTGAGGTTGTTCTGAAAAGAATGATACCAAATAAGTTCAATGTAAAGGTGGATACACCTAGTTATACCACCGACTCAGAGGCTGCTGGTCTCCTGTTCAATGAATACCACGATGGTCCAGAAGTAGGTGCAAGTGACTTAGGCACCGGATGGACTGTGGGACCTTTAGACAGTCAGAAGGATTCCTTTGTGTACATAGATTTATTAGCAGGTTCTTAGTGTCAACATGAATGGTGTGTGTGTGTGTGTGTGTGTGTGTGTGTGTGTGTGTGTGCTTGTGGGTGTATGGTACACAGTCCCATCATTAAGGCTGTGTTCGTCAGTAATGAGGTAAAGCTCAGTGGCCTAGTGGTAGAGTGTCCGCCCTGAGACTGGGAGATCAGGGTTCGATTCCTGGTCGGGTTATACCAAAGACTTAGAAAAAATGGGACCCAATGCCTCCCTGCTTGACACTCAGCATAAAGGGCAAAGGTGTCATTTTAACCGGGGGCGCCGGGGACATATCCCCGGCAAAATTTGTGATTGGCAACTGTGTCCCCCCCACTTTCAAAAACGCCTGCTGATGAGGATTTTTGTTTTACCAGCTCAGATCTTATCAGGGGTCGGCAACCTGTTCCCATCAAAGAGCCATTATTACCCGTTTCCCACAGTAATTTTGGACGGACCTTAATAAGCAGTGACTTAAGTGAAGCAGGCAGGTCGCGCTAGAAAATTTCGTTTAAAAAGACGTCATAAATGTTTTCCCTCGTCATTTTTATTTATAAAATATGAAGTAAAGACTCACAATTTAATTTTCATTCATTTGTCATTAATATGTAGTCTACACCCGTGCGTTAAGTGGACCATCTTCCAGTAAAAGCAAAGCATCCAGCCCACCTCTCCAAATGCGTAAAATGTGCATCAGCCGCTAGTTAGGCGCACCGCGCGCACCGTCAGCTGATCAGCCCAGACAAGAGCAGAGCAACTAGAGAAAGAATAGAGGATAATTGTGTCTGGATGTGGATGGAGATTACATTTTACAGCCTGATCATCATTTAAATACGTAAACCATCACCTGGCTTTTAGTCCACGCTATCAGCATTATTTTTATTGGTGTGTGTGTGTGTGTGAGTGTGTTTTCCACATCAAACACTGGTCTAACCGACCAGACCAGCGTGTCCAGTAACATATTACTGTTACAATTAAACAGTTTCACTTCATGTAGGCTAGGAACGTTTCACCTGCCGTGGCCCGACCGCTTCTGCTCCACATAAACTTTGTGCGTGATCAAATGTCTCTACAGGTGCTTTCTGAGCTGAAGAGGCTCTGCCTCAGACTGGATGCATCATACGTGTCCACATTAGAGACGGGAACAAGCGCCGCCCAGCCAAAGTCTCACAATTTCATAAAAAGAAAATTTTTCCAAGTGACACGTCCCTCAGAGAGACCGGGTTTCCAGACCGCCTGGAAATCCTATCGCATGCACCGTGGCTCCGCGCCGCGAACCCCTCTGAGGATCCCCAGCTCACTGTCCACCGTGGGCGCTCATAAGGTCCACAGCGAGCTGAAGATGTGGAGAGGGGCCCGGAGCGCATCGCAGAACCAGAGCGCACGCGGGAAGATTCCTCCGACTGAAGCGAGACTTGTCACTTAGAAAATGTTCCCTGATTACGAAACAATGGCCGAACAGCGCCCGCTCCCGTCTCCAGTGTGGCAACACATCCAGGAGCCGTCTGAGGAGAGTCCCAGAATCTCACATCCTCGTCAGCTCAGAAGCGCCTATGATTACGCACAAGCGTGACGCGTCAAGCCGGTCTCACAGTAAGACCGGGTTGGACCTGTTCAGGTTTACGCAGACAATCTTTACATTTAGAATTGACATACATATGTAAAATTAATGCAGTAAAATATAAAGCATTTTATTTAAATATCCATTCATTATTTTACAAGCACAGAGAGCCGCATCAGATGGATGGAAGAGCCGCATGCGGCTCCAGAGCCGTGGGTTGCCGACCCCTGTGCTAGCCTACTTTATTGTCCCCAGCAATTTTTAAACCCCACTCAAGTGTATGGTTATTGTCCCCAGCAATTCTGAAAACAAACTGACGCCCTTGATTAAGGGGGTTGGATTTGGGGGTTAAACCACCAAATGGTTCCCGAGCGCGGCTGTGTCTGCAGCTCACCGCTCCCCCAGGGGATGGGTCAAATGCGGAGAACAAATTTCGCACACACATCAGTGTGTGTGACAACTAATGGGACTTTAAAATGGGGTGTGCAGTTTTGCTCGGGAAACTGTTTTATTACACAGCACAAGGTAAAAGGGTTCCTTTCTTAACCCTCCCACTGTCCTAATTATCAAAGCACAAAGAGGACTCAAATGCAGAGCTCTCACAGTTTTAATCAGCAGAAGGGATTCCTGGAGTACAACACAACTGAAAAGTCCAAATCTAACTGAATACACTTTTACCAAGTGTTTCTGAGAGCAGAAGACAAACTGGCAAAGGAAACTGTTGCAAAGACGCTTAAATGGAGAAGCTAGGACCCAGGTGCAAGACATGAGGCAGATTAGTGAGGAGCCTCATGTCGTGAAGCTGCCTGTAATGAGACAGGAAGTGAATGCACAAAATAAAACAGGAAGTACCAGAAATACAATAAAACCAGAAACAAGACTGCAAAGCACTCAACCTGCAGAATCACCCATGACACTAATGGATGTGACCCCGTGAGGAAAGTTGACCTTAGAGCAGGATTGATGGTTTATCCCTTGGGTCCATGAGGCAGGGGTGAGCTGGTGCTCACTCCTCACCCCTGCCTCAT